TGACACTTGCAATCGTGGGCACATTCTGAAGACATCCAAAATTTGGTAGGACTCTCCTCCTCTTTAGCGCTTCAAACGCTCGGCAGTGCCTCCTTAGGTCGAAAGGTGTGTGTAAGTCTTCCTTAGTGATAAGGAAACTGTACACGTCTTCCGCGATTCCCTTGAGCAGATGACCTACCTTATCTTCGTGACACATGGTCGCACTCACGATTCCGCAAAGCTTCAAGACGGCCTCAATCTAGGTGGTGCATGTTTCGCCAGGTAACTGAGCTCTGCGTGAAAGCGTTTGCTCCGCCTGCTTGACCTTAGCTGTTGAATCACGAAAACACCTCTTCAGCTCGTCCACGAAAATGTCCCATGTGGTCAATGCACTCTTATGGTTGTCGAACCAAAGAGACGCGGTGCCGACGAGAAAAAAACACCACGTTCTCAAGCTGCTTAGCAGTGCTCCAGCGGTTGCTGCGACTCACTCTTTCGTAGTGCTTGAGCCAGTCGTCAACATCGTCATCCGGCTGCCCCGAAAAGGTCCTCGGCTGACGTCCCGGCTAGCCGCAGCGATCTTGTCCTGGCTGGTGAGCGTGTTGCTCATCAGCAACGAGGTTGTTATGGCCTGCTCCCGCGTCCTCCATGTCTAATAGCTGCAGTGGCAAGCCTGCCAAGCGTCTGCTCCGTCGCAAACTCGGTGGAGCTGGGTCGTCCAGATCGATGTACCCAGCACCTCCACCAAACTGTTACGAGTGACTGTGTTTATTTACAGATGAGGTGAAATGGCGTTGTGAAATAGCAGCGTACTTCTGAGACAGGCCTAGAACGCTTCCACCCTACCACACAGTCCAGGCGCGCCCGACTACTCTTCTTCTTCTCCTGCACCCCGTACGCTCGCGCATCTTCGTTTCAATATACACAACAGGCAACCTTTTAGCAGCAAACGTGAGCAACGTGACATATTCTGGGGACAACACAGCGCTCGTGTTGTCCTCTTTGCCTTCCGTGCCTCGCTTTTCCTGTGTTTCTTCTAGCACCTTCGTGCTCGCGCTGCAGCCCTTATTACCATGACTTCACTACGGGGCTTCTCATATTCATATGGTGGTTTTGGTACGTTAAATTCTACATATCAATCAAATCAATCAATCCAAAATTTATGACACATTAGCTTACGCTAAAATATTTATGAAGCAACGTGACTCAGTATATTTGTGACAATACCCAGAAAAACAGCTTGCTGCAGTTCACTATCATTCAGTTTTTAAAATAAAAAAGAAACATGGCTTAAAGACCATTCCACCACGCTTTCAATACAGTGCTTAAGTTTACTGATAGTTATCCAATGTGCCTTCTATAAACTCTACTCCTGCTTTGTTTATTGTGAAGCTGTATGATTGCGGAAAATTGCAGGAAAATTACATCTTGTTTGGTTTGAAAGTCCACTTTCCTTTTATTTTTGTTTCTTTCACATCGTCTCTTTCTGAGCTCTCCTGTTTTTCAAGAAACATGACGTCGGTGACGTCAGCTTGTGGCCGCGAAGAGTTATTTATTTAAAAACTGAACTCGTACTAGGACAATTAAATTTGCACAGAACATTAGAAATGTTTTTCTCGTTACTATATCTGATATGTTTTCGAAATGCGTTAAGGATTCGAGCGAGTAAAACTTAAATGACTCGCAAGCTACTGCACTACTCGTGGCGCAACACGAATGTGTGGACACCCGGCTACCTTGCCTTCGCTCCGAAGTAAAGATAACTCGTTACCGAGTAGAATTTTAGGAAACCATAAAGTAACCTCCTACCGGTATTTCCTTGACAAGCGCATGTACTGTCAATGCAGTCATATGTCGTGCTGGGAATAGATTTTTGCTAGATCCGTGACAACAAACCGTCACGAATTGAAAAACCAAAATACGAGCTAAGGAATTACAAACGGGAAGTAGATGAAATGTTCCTAAACACCTCAGAAACTGTAAAAGCCAGGAATAAGCAAAATAATATTATAAATATCAATAAGAAATATCAATAAATAAATAAGAATTATCAATATTAACAATATAAATAAAATCAATAAGAAATATTATATTATGACGAGCGTATCGTTTTCCTAAAGGGAACGCGCAAAAGAATGAACTAGTGCCATTTTTTCAGTAGCCGCTCCATGAATCGGGCCTTGTCGTGTTAATGTAGCAGCTTTGCTTTGCCACGCATGAATTTCTGCGTCGTACAAATGCATTATCAGTTACAAAAATGCCCATCTGGAACAAAGCTCTTCTGTTTTCGGGGGGCCAATGCCTCCTAGTACACACATGCATATACAGAGCGTGAGCACGTATTACGTACATCAACCAACAGTTGTCTCGCATTTAACGGCGATGACCATATTGATTTATTTGATATGTGGGATTCAACGTCCCAAAACCACCATTTGATTATGAGAGACGCCGTAGTGGAGGGCTCCGGAAATTTCGGCAACCTGGGGTTCTTTAACGTGCACCCAAATCTGCGCGATGACCATATTGCCAATTTACTGGACATCATCACTTCGCTGTAGGTGCGTTATTGTTACGTGGACCGTAGTTTATGTTTGATGTATGGGTTAATGGATTGTTGGCTCACTGTTATCAGTGCATAAAGGCCAGTATAATTCAGTCACCACGTTGGTCTAGTGGCTAAGGTACTCTGCTACTGACCTGCAGTTCATGGGGTCGAATACCAGCGGATGCGGCTGGTGGAGAAGAAAATACCGTAGTCCCGTGTGCTTCATCAAGGCGTCTCTCATATTCATATAGTGGTCTTGCAACGTTAAACTCCGCATATCAATCAAATGGATCAGCACAATTCAGTAACGCTCACTTGCAGATAAAAAAGTTTTGCTCCCATGCCCTACGTATAAGCAAACAGCACAGTATGTATACGCCGACATTAGGCAACAAGAGCTGGATGCGTGGCACAATGCTTAGGGGACCCCACAAATTTGTTAATACACCTGTAATGCATTTGCCCCTTGACAACAGTGTGCATGCAAGTGGTGCCACGTTACGCTGTTTTTATGCTACGTATGTGATGAATAAGATGACATTCAACAAATATACTCCATTACCCATGCAGGCCGAGCAACGTTAACAAGAACTGCAGCATAGTAAACTTCGCATAATCGTTACAGCATCACTAAATCGGCTTTCGTTACAGCACGAAAGCCGATGGCACACGGTTGCCCTCCAGACAACATCAACCTACAGCGAATATACCACGTTACCACCACTGTTCGCTCAGTAATAGGTCGGCAAAATGATAAAAAATTGTTTGCTGAAACTTCGATGAGGATGTCCTAAGTTTCCTAGTTCCCCATGCTGGTGGCACACACCGCTCCTTCAGCATAGTTTTTACGACGATGGCCTCATAAGTCACGACAAAAGTGTGCCTGCTGCAGCGTAATAGGTTCGGCTTCAAGACCTCTGTTTTTGGCATTAGGTACTAATGGCATACCTTCACATGGTGCATGCGTTTCATGTTATGTTCGCCTTTTCACTGATGAATGTGCCTTCATCGTACTATACCTAATCCATCTGAGCAGCAAACACTTCAACATGATCGTAACTCCATTCAAGCATGATGTAACCAGTGGTTCATGACACTTAACCCAACTAAATGCAAATCTTTATCTTCCTCACGTCGTAATCTTTTAACTTTTGCTTACACAGCCAGTGACTTACACTCTAAAAAGAGCGAATAAAAAGGGTGTCTTTTTGTCCCACAACAATAATCGTCATCTATATTGCGTTCCATCTTTGCGCTATAGCCCCGCGCCCGGTACATTCCGGTCACGATCGACATGCCGATTATCAGGGTACATCGCATTCTCGATAGAAAAGTGGCCAGCGCCAAGTTTTCAAGAAAGGAAGCGCACGCAAGCCTGATGACGAATATTGTTGTGGGACAAAAAGACACCCTTCTTACTCGATAATTTTTTACAGTGTAGACATGCACAGAAACGAATCATTAAAATAGCTGGGTGTAACATTGTCTAATAACATAACGTGGAGTCATCATGTCACTAACATATTAGCGGGAGCTAACGAATCACTCGTACTTCTGAAACATCATTTATGTCATGCTCTCAAACACCTAACGCTCCTAGTCTACAAACCCATAATCAGACCAAAGCTTTGTATACCACTGCCACTTGGAGGCCGCCTCAGGCGCATCTAATAAATTCGCTTGAGGCACTGCAGAACCATGTCATACGATTTATTCATTTATCCTTCGTACCATCTCAGTATGCAGTTGTTGAAACAAGAATCATCTTTATCAACTCTTGCACTTTGTCGTGGAATTGCCACTTTACCTCTTTTCCACGAGTTTCAATTGAGCCAATGTGAACGTCCGGACTTTATCAGTTCACCAGCCGCCTATCTCATCACACTGAGAATGCCTTACAAGTAACCTCACCATGCAGTTACACTAAGACATTTTCGGCCTCCGCCGTTCAACGCCCATCATCTGAGTGGAATGAACTTTGGCTCACCATTGGAAGCATTACCTTCCACACTTGATGATTGCAATGTGTAACATACTTCCTCTCTTGCAAATTAATTATGTAATTACCACCTAATTAAATTTCTCTACAACTAACCCTTATGTAACACTCCTTAGAAGGGTCTTTAATGTATTGAAATAAAATTAAACCATTCGTGTTTCTTATCTTCGTTGAAGCCTCTGAAGAACTCTGCGCTAAGCACTTTATTGAAGCCACCGGCGCAATTTACAGCACCAGGAGCCGTCGCGCACACCCATAACTACAAAGTCCCGGGTACTGAAAAAGGAAGGCGAGAATTTGTAGCACGTCAGTTAAAACTCAGTGGCCGCTCGTGGCGCTGATGGTGAGCTTGCGTACTACACTAGTGCGCCACCTGTACGTGTCACACGTTTTTCATAGATATTGGAACTGTCCGTGTTTTGCGTATAGCTTCCGACAATAATAGAATTGTATGTAATCTCGGGAAACACTTACCTCTTGGATGTCCTCTAAAGGAATGGACTCCTCCTTTTTGCTTTCCTGAAAACATAAAAGTATGTTCAGCATCCAAGTTTCGAATCCTTATAGGCTTTCCCATGATTACATTTTGATGTGTTGCAGTTTGAGCCAAAATATTTGTTCATACCGTTCGGTACTAAACGCACACCGTCGTTTTTTGCAATTTATGATTCTTCCCAAATAGTTCCGCAAGATTACACGCAGGGTGACCAGATAAGTATACACGAGAGTTCACGCGAGCACCGGCAAAGGCTTGATAACCCCACCTACTGATGTACAAGAGAAGAGTATTTGGAATGAATAACAGATTACTGAATGCCACCGACTGTGACATCCGCAGTGAGCGCACACGGCACAATGCGTTACTAAATAAGCACGACCTTCATTTTTAAGTTGGCTCATTACCAGCCTACACGCCGCCCTTTTCACCATCACGACCATGACAAATCTTGTGCAGTACCTCGTTCTGTCACCATCCCCGCGCAGCTGGATAGCTTTGAACTACACTCAAGCTCTAAAGTTTTCACGACACAGCCGAGCAAGTCTTTTAGTTAGCCTAAGTAAGTAGGGTCATTCATCAGAGCAAGGACTTGAATGCGAAGCAATTCTTAGCGAACTTAAACGACTTTGACCGTAACTATCTGTCTAGCCGCCTACGTTTGGGTGCTATCGCGGTCACCCCCTTAACTTTGCGTGAACCAAAACTAGCATGGTACAGCAGCATGGTTTGACCAATAGGACGCACAAGTCAAGTCATGAATAATGCCACAATGCCGTCGCGTACGCCGTCAAACAATTCCAGCCAGACAATAACACATATCAATGTGCGGGTATGTGCCACAAGTATGCGGGTATGGGTCGCAGGTGATTGACACTTAGTATCTACCAAGGAACGACGAGAACATACATGGGCAGTTTCAACGCACGAGCGTTAAGAAATACCCAAAATTGGTAGCGTCGCCTAGACAAACGCAAAAAATGAATGCCAGAATCCCAGCTGGAATAAACTTCAAGCATTCTGCGTGGCAATGAAGTATTTTACCACAGAACTACACCAGGTTTCAGAACTACATTTCACGTAGACCCCAATCTTCGTGTAACCTTATTAGTGGTTGCAGTGCAGCCTGCCTAATTTTATAAATATTACATGTGTACTCTTTAAAACAGCCGTCACTTCGGGTTGACGTCAATTGTGGTTAGTTTCCATGCGCTGAAGTTGATTTCTGTAACAGCGTCCAGGGCCTGCATACACGCGAGCTTCAGCGCTTCTTGTCATCTTTTGGTGTTTCTAATACGCATGCTTTATTTGAGATTGTTGTGCAAGTGAAAACAACTCGTTATATAACTATTTGAAACTCTTGAACATGTGTCTGTGCGTGAAGCAATTTCACATATAGGTAGCGTCATTTCATGACGTGTCGCCTAAATAAACAATTGCAACACGGTCATGTTTTCTCCGCATGCTTTCCATAACGCAGATTCCCAGGAATGTGGGATCTGCCGTATTTTTTTGCCCAATAAAACAGAGACCACGGAGATGAATAAATAGCCATGATTACGATTACTGTACCACCAGAAACAGTAGTCATGTATCACCACAGGCAGTCGCATGCCATCCGTAGATATCCATGGGAGGGCCCCATCGTGGTGGTCTAGTGGCCAAGGCAATCGGCTGCTGACCCGCAGGTCGGGGGATCGAGTCCCGGCTGCGGCGGCTGCATTTCCGATGGAGGTGGAAACGTTGTAGGCCCGTGTGCTCAGATTTGAGTGCACGGTAAAGAAACCCAGGTGGTAGAAATTTCCGGAGCCCTCCGCCACGGCTTCTTTGATAATCATAGTGTGGTTTTGGGACGTTAAACCCCAGGTATCAATAAGTATCCATGGGTGGATATAGAAATCTGGGGCCGGATTCACAAACCTCACTTACGAAAACGTTTTTGTGCAAGAGAAGTTTTGTTGTGTAGGTCGATTCACAAAACGAAAAAAAAAGTCGTAAGAGGCTATTGTTGTTACATCGGCCGCTGAAATAAAGCGTGCTGTGACTGCCCGGGAACATGTCAGCGATGGTGATGCAGTTGCTATATTTGCTTACATGAACGAAAAGTGCTCGTAAGTGCATTCATGAAACGAAATTTTGCGTAAAAACAGCGTGGATAAAAGAAAATCCTAAGAGTGGTCCGGCAACTCTTACGAACACTGTGGCCACGTAGAACCTGCCGCCACGGTGGTATACTTTGGTGCCATGGCTGGTTCTGAGTTAATTCACGCCCATGAAAGGCTACCTGATGACTGTTGGTGCGTTTTAGGGGCGAAGCTCTTTAGGGCGTGGGCTGTGCGTCCCCTGTAGCCTGTATGTAGCCACCTCTAGTTTAGTTCTTGCAGTGTTTACTAGATGGCAGTACCGTCTCCTGTATGTAGCCACCTCTAGTTTAGTTCATGCAGTGTTCACTAGATGGCGGTACCGTCTCCTGTATGTAGCCACCTCTCGTTTAGTTCTTGTAGTGTTTACTAGATGGTGGTACTTGTAGCTGATGATGAAAAGATGCAAGATGTTATAAACTAGAAAGCGGTACTTGTAGTTGATGAAAGACGCGAGATCTTATAAAATAGGAATGATGTCACATATGGCTGTCACACCGGTGCCGTTAATTAGGGAGGCGATCGCCGGGCTGATTCCAAGAGCCGAAGTATCGGCCCCCCGAACCGCTCCACGAAAGCGTGGACAATTTAGAAGTGGTCCTTTTTGGCGCGCCAGCGGACGCCAGCTGTGGCCCAAAGAACAAGTCAGAGCCGAGAGTTGATAAACAAACAAATTATATTCTCAATAATGGCAGATCGAAAACAATACACAAAAATGCACACTCCACAATAGTTACATACAATATGTCACCAATCAAACCAATCAATCAACGTACTACACATTACAATCAGCCACACTTGAGACAACGGACTCGGACAACAATACGAGCTACAATGCAGCCGCATGCATTGAACAACCAAGACACTTAAAGACTAAACAGATAGAAAACCTATTTAGTCCAAAGTTCTTGGAACCAAAGTCGAGATGATACTCTTCCGAGAATCACTCACTCAAAGTCCAGCGTTGTTGTCGTTCCGCAGCCCTCGAAGTTTCTCTTCCAGGAAACCTCCCGTCTTCAATTGGCCACTCTTCAAACTTCAACTTCTTCGCCGGAACCACGTCGGCCTCACACACGCAGCTGTTGCCACGCGTCCTCGCTCAATAGCGGTAAACACACGCTCTTGCCTGTAGCTCGAGCCTTCACCAGCAGGTGGAAATCCTCTTCATCTCCGGCCTCGTCCCTACGGACCAAAACCTTCGCCGAATACACGGCGGAATCCCTACGCGCTCTGGCGTTCACTTCCGTCTCCTCTTGCTTTCTCGTCTCGGCTGCTCGATTAAATACCTTCCGCGCCACCTTCCAGAAAGTTCTCCTCTTTTCGTCGGCGCGATGCGCAGCGAAGGCTGGGGAGAGGCGTGAGACGGTTCGACTGCCCTCCGCGTCGGATGACTCATCTCGGCGTGGCCACGCCTCCTTCGTTCTAGAAAAATCGCGGGCTTGCTCGGCCGCCGTTGTGGGGTGAGGAGGTTCGTCGATGAAGCCACGCTTCTGCGGGGAGAGCGCTGCGCGACCGGGGAGCCTTGGCCGTTTGTTTTCTTTTTCTTTCCTTTTTTTTGACTTCGCGGCGTTTCTCCCGCCCGTTGTCGCAAGAATTTGGCGGCGCGCTCATTTTTAGCGCTCGTTCTGTGACACTGCCCCCCACTTTAAGAATATTATCTCATAATATTCAGAACCACACAAACGAGCGCGAACAGTCACCACACACTCTCACAGTCTGTAACATAGTCCGTCGCTCATCACACTTCACATTCATAATAGATTACTTAATACAATCATACATGTAGTTCAATTCCACAACACATGAAATATAGCCACAGGTACATGACTACAGCACTTCATCACACATTCCAAACAATACAAACGTACAAAGTTTTCTCATTACAACAATCAGACGACACTATACATCACATCACAGCACAGGCACTTCGACACTTGTGACACAGGATAACACTACATTAACACAACATATGGCACTCAACTCTGCCAAACACATTCTGCTTTGACCTCAGCACTTATCCTGTGTACTTTGAGCTGCGCTTGCGTCCTTTCTTGCGGTGCTCGCTCGATCTCTTCTTGTTTTTCCTTGTACATTTTCGGCGAGCCTTTTCTACCGACGATATCTGAGGCGTCGTCTCAGCCATCGTTGTCTCTTCCGACACCGTTAACGCGTCATTACATTCGACGGGTCCTGTCTGTTTAATTACCCGCTTGATCATGCCTCTACATTTTGCCCGGCTGGCCAACTCCGTCTCTTTTACACTGTCGGTCGGTTGAGGTCGTGCCGACGTAAGTCCGGTTGCTCGGCCCGTGAACTTATTCGACACATTCGTCTTCTCCTTCGCTGTCTCTTGCGCCGCAGCTTCACCTTGGGCTCTAGCGAGATCCGTCACGGGATGCTCCTCCACTGTATCTCGCGGCCGCTGGGTTGGCGAGGGCTCTATCTTCGGGTCTTCCCCCAAACGTTCTGGATCATTCGGCCCTCGCGCCCCGTCGATGTTTCCGATGACAAGGTCGTAAAGGGGGGTCGTCATGCATAACGCAGTAACCTTCCCGCTGAAGTACGGGGTTTCAACCTCAATTTCTGCTTCGGGAAGCATCCGGACCGTACGGTCAATTAGGCAAACCGGTTTCGTTCTGCCTGTCAACTCTCTTTCCCGTACCAAATTTCTCCTCACGATAACCGTGGAGCTACCGGTGTCTCTTAGAACCGTAATATTCTTGCCTGCAATCTTTCCAGGAAGCGTTGGCATTCCCTTCGTAACACCGGTTGGCTGTTTTGACATTACAGCCCCCACAATAGGAATTTTCTTCCCATTCTTCAACTCTACGAATCCATCAGTGACGGCATTATTATCAGACTTCGGTGCTGCTTGCACACAG